CACACACACACACACACACACACACACACACACACACACTGCCTTACTTAGGATCCATGTAGAATTTAGGGGTGAATTGACAGCTGAGACAGGCTTAAGGTCTGACCTGCTAGCTCTTTGGATAGGATGGACTTTCAGCTGCTGGAATCCAGTGGGGTGTTTTTTTCTCACTCAATGTAACCATTATTCTAATAATATGGATTTTGTTCTATGGTGATGCTGTTGTTTTCCTGACCTTCAGAACTGTACCATCTGACACCGGTGGGTGGAAGGGATAGACAGACATCCAAATACAGGACATCAAGGGGTAATGGATTTTGATGTCAAAGGGAGATTTGTAAAGTGTGAGCATTGCCATTGAACAACAGGTCTTACAAAACGAACATTATGAACAAACAGAAACACTGAGATGCAGGGATATGAGAAGATGCTTGCCAGATCACAGCACTAACTGATAAGCTAGTCCCAGAACCCCGTCTTCCTGGTCTCTAACCTCTTCCAGATGAAATGTAGTCATACTTGGGAAGGTCAGCAGAATCGTCTGTGGATTTCTTACTCATCAGGAATTAGGGGCTGGAGAAAGTATTGAGCAGGCAAAAGGGTTGCTTTAGGAAATTTTAGTTGGACGCCTAGCTGTACCTGCACATAGCAGGAGCTGCCTTGGACATGGGACCTAAGACACTGAGAACAATGAATCTGGGTAGGTAGGTGTTCAATGTATTGTGACCCACCCACTTGATTCTTGAAACAGTCCTGGGGGCTGTGTTACCTGGGCGTTCTGACTTGAAGAGGAGCCCTGGTATCATCTGACAAGTTAAGGGAGAAACTCATTGTTACAATTAGTGAGACTTGTGTCGGGGAGGGGGACACCGAGTCCCCTTGTGTTGGGGAGGGGGACACCGAGTCCCATTTCTAGCTGAGGAGCCATTGGCATGGCTGCTGGAGAATGAAGACTCAGTTGTCATCAGCAATGCAGCCCCTGGTGGGTTGTCATGCTCCAGCCAATGGCGCTGTATCTATGCACACATTGGCAGCTCTAAGTGGACTACGCGGGTTAAAAAAAAGTACGTGACGAAGTTGGGAAGGGGACCTGGCGGTGGCAGTATGGGAAGAGCTGGGAAAGAGGGAGTAAGCAGTAGTGTTGATCAAATCGATTGAATACAAGTATGAAATTATCAAACGATATATATAAAATGAATACAAAAGAAGGGGGTAACCCATGGATTCTCCTGGTGCAGTGCTCCCTGCGGCCCAAAAGACCTGTGTGTGACAAGCATGGGACAAGTGTGGTTGACCACAGTGTCTCTGATTCCATTCCAGATGCATTGTGAGAGGTTTCTATGTGTCCTGAGAATAATTGGAACCACACTCTTTGGAGTCTCTCTCCTCCTCGGAATCACAGCTGCTTATATTGTTGGCTACCAGTTCATCCAAACGGATAATTACTATTTCTCCTTTGGACTTTATGGTGCCTTTTTAGCATCACACCTCATCATCCAAAGCCTCTTTGCCTTTTTGGAACACCGGAAAATGAAAAAGTCCCTTGAAACCCCCATTAAACTGAACAAAACAGTAGCCCTGTGCATCGCTGCCTATCAAGAAGACCCTGATTATTTACGCAAATGTTTGCAATCTGTGAAAAGGTTGACCTACCCTGGGATTAAAGTCGTGATGGTCATAGACGGGAACTCAGACGATGACCTTTACATGATGGACATCTTCAGTGACGTCATGGGCAGGGACAAATCAGCCACTTACATCTGGAAGAACAACTACCATGAAAAGGGACCTGGCGAGACAGAAGAGTCCCATAAAGAAAGTTCACAACATGTGACCCAGTTGGTCTTGTCTAACAAAAGCATCTGCATCATGCAAAAATGGGGCGGGAAGAGAGAAGTCATGTACACAGCCTTCCGAGCACTGGGACGAAGTGTGGATTATGTACAGGTAGGTCCGAAAACGCCTGCCAGGGCGAGCATACGTCGAAATAAAGCAGCTTTTGTATCTCCTTAGTCCTATGCTATAGGCCATCCTTGTCCCTTCTGAACACAGTGCCCCTTTCAGTCCATTGGAAAACAGTATGACTGTTGAAAGCGCATTTTAAAAGACAGAAAAAAAAATCTTGTAAAACTGTTAGGAGCATCTATGAAAGTGCTTCCTTGTCCATGCAATTGGTCAGAAACTGGGATTATTTGGACAGGAGACCCCCCTTCTTTCGTTTCTCTGCCTTTTCCTTAGTTCTTCTCTGTGCCTCTGGATTCTGCCAAGCCAAATCTGACATCCTTGTCCACACTGTTTAAACACACACACACACACACACA